GGACAGCTTTAGGTCTCTACATGTGCCATAGATGAATGAATTTGTGGTCTGCTTTTCTGCAGCCACTGGCGCCTGAATATTTTGACATTTAGAGATTTGGAAATAGTTTTTTAAAAGTATAACAGTAAAGTAAAACGTATAAAATCATTCCGATTTCATATAGTTTTTTTTGTTGTTGTTGTTAACTTAAAAAAAAACTATTTAGAAATATCTACAAGTCCAAATATTTGGGCGCCAGTGGCTGCAGAAAAGCAGACCACAAATTTATTCATCTATGGCACATGTAGAGACCTTGTAGTGTGTCGATTTATTAGTCCAGCGATGGCACAGAAAGTATCTCAAAGTTAGCGTTTTATTGGTATTACTTATTAGCTACATTTATATGGGAAGGCAAAAAGGACAACCCCCTAGAATCTCTATTCTGGTCCTCTCTGGTTTCCACCGCTGTGCCGCGCCGCGCAGCGGTCGTCATCTCCTATTTCATGGCGCCGCTTGTATGTTTTTGTTGACGGCGTGGTGCGTCATCCCAGCAGGCTGGAAGGAAGTCCCTCAGCCCCACGCAACCTAAAGCTGTACCAGCTAGCAATAAATGTTGGAAGGGGAAATTAACCAATCCTTTTTAGTCAAACATATTTTATTTTTAGACCAATAAACTATCTTTCAATGTACATCAGAGGGTAGATAAAACAAAAAAAACCTAAATAATATTACGCGTATATAAGTTTTTTAAAAAGGATTAAAAACTATATAAGGTTAAAATATGGAGGAGTTTAATATACATATAACTATAAACACACAAAAAAGGCCTATCATGCCAAAATCCCATATTATCCCCACCTACCTCGACATTCAGCCACCCAATTCCAGGATTCGAAAAAGGCCGGCTAAGGCCGCAGCCAGGTGCCTGAGCCCTCAGCAACTCCCAGTCCTCAGCTTCTCCCAGGAAGAAAAAAAAATCTAACTGTTTTTTTTTTTGTAAATATCCCACTTCTTTGCCCCAGTGTTGCTGGACTCACTCCCCAAGGCTATCATCACCCTTCTTTCTGTGAAAAAAAGTAAAAAGTATCTTATAAAAAAAATAAATATAGAAATTATTCTTCTTAGCAAGGTATATTATAATCAACAAAATAAAAGAAGACGAGTTTCTTAAACAATTTTAAATAAACGCCAGCTTTCGGGTGAAAACCCTTCGACAGGCAGTATAAAGCAAACGCGGCGATACAAACATGGTACACAAGGCAGACAAGACTATATACATCTATGATATTTACATAACTATGGTAAAGAGATCGTAAAGATAGAGGCTGCCTGGCCGGCATCTTCGTCAGGAGAATTAAATAAAAATAAACGCCTTGCCGAATGTTTATTTTATTTAATTCTCCTGACGGAGACAAAAGATTTTTGTCGAAACGTTGAGAAAATAAAAAGCTCCAACTGGCCGAAGTGTCTATTTTTTATATAAATATGGTAAAGAGAATTGCAAATAAGAAATTTACATCATTATGAAATAATGCATATAGAGAATCTATTCTTCAAAAAGAGATGCTAATATTATAATCAGAAACGGGAATATCGTTGAAATATAGTATATGATTGACACGGGCAACTATAGGGAGAACTACATGAAGGCCAGGAGAGCATGATAGGCTTCAGGGAGGTCGATTTTTCTGTTGATGCTGCCTTGCTTTTGGGATTCTATTGATTCTAGTATGAGTCTTTGATGTTGGTTACGGATGCGTCTGTAATGTATTGTAGGGTGTTTGATGTTAAAAGTATGGCCTGTGTCCTGTATGTGTTGATATATGAGAGATTTGGAGTCATGGTTATTACAAAACTGTATTGGATCATTCTGCTTTTATATGCTACACTGAAGGATGGAATCTTAGAAGTGGTTTTCAAGTAAACTATGGACATAAGCTTATAGGACAGTAGAATTACATTCAAATATTTGCTTCGAGCAATGCTCTTCAGCAAACTATAAAGACAAGGCCAGTTAGGAGTAAATTAACACAAAGCAATAACGCGCCATCTATACATATAAAATAAAAGGATTCAAAAGCGCGAATGTTTCTTTTATACATAAAACGAACTTCTACTGTCCTTGCTGCGATGAAAAAATATATTGGGAGGGCTTGGCTCATCAGTGGTGAACCCTCCCAGCGGTTTCGCCAATTTAATCCACCAGACCGCTTCTCAGAGCTCTAATACTGTATTGGATCATTCTGCTTTTATATGTTACACTGAAGGATGGAATCTTAGGAGTAGTTTTCAAGTAAACTATGGACATAAGCTTATAGGACAGTAGAATTACATTCAAATATTTGCTTCGAGCAATGCTCTTCAGCAAACTATAAAAACAAGGCCAGTTAGGAGTAAATTAACACAAAGCAATAACGCGCCATCTATACATATAAAATAAAAGGATTTAAAAGCGCGAATGTTTCTTTTATACATAAAACGAACTTCTACTGTCCTTGCTGCGATGAAAAAATATATTGGGAGGGCTTGGCTCATCAGTGGTGAACCCTCCCAGCGGTTTCGCCAATTTAATCCACCAGATCGCTTCTCAGAGCTCTAATACTGTATTGGATCATTCTGCTTTTATATGCTACACTGAAGGATGGAATCTTAGAAGTGGTTTTCAAGTAAACTATGGACATAAGCTTATAGGACAGTAGAATTACATTCAAATATTTGCTTCGAGCAATGCTCTTCAGCAAACTATAAAGACAAGGCCAGTTAGGAGTAAATTAACACAAAGCAATAAAGCGCCATCTATACATATAAAATAAAAGGATTTAAAAGCGCGAATGTTTCTTTTATACATAAAAACGAACTTCTACTGTCCTTGCTGCGATGAAAAAATATATTGGGAGGGCTTGGCTCATCAGTGGTGAACCCTCCCAGCGGTTTCACCAATTTAATCCACCAGACCGCTTCTCAGAGCTCTAATACTGTATTGGATCATTCTGCTTTTATATGCTACACTGAAGGATGGAATCTTAGAAGTGGTTTTCAAGTAAACTATGGACATAAGCTTATAGGACAGTAGAATTACATTCAAATATTTGCTTCGAGCAATGCTCTTCAGCAAACTATAAAGACAAGGCCAGTTAGGAGTAAATTAACACAAAGCAATAACGCGCCATCTATGCATATAAAATAAAAGGATTTAAAAGCGCGAATGTTTCTTTTATACATAAAACGAACTTCTACTGTCCTTGCTGCGATGAAAAAATTCACCACTGATGAGCCAAGCCCTCCCAATATATTTTTTCATCGCAGCAAGGACAGTAGAAGTTCGTTTTATGTATAAAAGAAACATTCGCGCTTTTAAATCCTTTTATTTTATATGTATAGATGGCGCGTTATTGCTTTGTGTTAATTTACTCCTAACTGGCCTTGTCTTTATAGTTTGCTGAAGAGCATTGCTCGAAGCAAATATTTGAATGTAATTCTACTGTCCTATAAGCTTATGTCCATAGTTTACTTGAAAACCACTTCTAAGATTCCATCCTTCAGTGTAGCATATAAAAGCAGAATGATCCAATACAGTATTAGAACTCTGAGAAGCGGTCTGGTGGATTAAATTGGCGAAACCGCTGGGAGGGTTCACCACTGATGAGCCAAGCCCTCCCAATATATTTTTTCATCGCAGCAAGGACAGTAGAAGTTCGTTTTATGTATAAAAGAAACATTCGCGCTTTTAAATCCTTTTATTTTCTATAACTATACTATATATATATAGAGACTGTAACTATATTATAAATATATGTTTAAATAAGGCTAAAGGTTAAATAGAAACAGTATAACATATATAAGAGATGTCAAGGTAGGTGGGGATAATATGGGATTTTGGCATGATAGGCCTTTTTTGTGTTTTTATATTTATATGTATATCAAACTCCTCCGTATTTTAACCTTATATAGTTTTTAATCCTTTTTTTTTAAATCTTATATACGCGTAATATTATTTAGGTATTTTTTTGGTTTTATCTACCCTCTGATGTATATTGAAAGATAGTTTTATTGGTCTAAAAATAAAATATGTTTAACCAAAAAGGATTGGTTAATTTCCCCTCTCAACATTTATTGCTAGCCGGCACAGCTTTAGGTTTCTACATGTGCCATAGTTGAATAAATTTGTGGTCTGCTTTTTTGTAGCCACTGGCGCCCAAATATTTGGACATGTAGAGATCTGGAAATAGTTTTTTTTTAAGTTAACAACAACAAAGAAACCTATATAAAATCATCACGATTTTAACATATATAACAATGAAAATTGCAAATATACCGCGAATGTTTCTTTTAAACAAAAATCGAAATTTATTTTAAAGAGAAATAGCGATTATTTCTAACTTTAAGGATGAAGTATGATAGGATGAATTGTGAAGAGTAATGACACACGGAAAAATAAAAGTGTCCAGGGATGGGAATCGAACCCACTGTGTTCCGCTTACCGGGCAGATGCCATGTCCACTAGGCTACCCTGGACATATTTTTCCGTTCGTAAATATTATATAAAGTAATTTAAAATACAATATAACGCGGCTGATGATTGTAAAACGAAAATTGCAATTATACCGCGAATGTTTCTTTTAAACAAAAATCGAAATTTATTTTAAAGAGAAATAGCGATTATTTCTAACTTTAAGGATGAAGTATGATAGGATGAATGGTGAAGAGTAATGACACACGTAAAAATAAAAGCGTCCAGGGATGGGAATCGAACCCACTGTGTTCCGCTTACCGGCAGATGCCATGTCCACTAGGCTACCCTGGACATATTTTTCCGTTCGTAAATATTATATAAAGTAATTTAAAATACAATATAACGCGGCTGATGATTGTAAAACAAAAATTGCAATTATACCGCGAATGTTTCTTTCAAACAAAAATCTAAATTTATTTTGAAGAGAAATAGCGATTATTTCTAACTTTAAGGATGAAGTATGATAGGATGAATTGTGAAGAGTAATGACAAACGGAAAAATAAAAGTGTCCAGGGATGGGAATCGAACCCACCCTGTTCCCGGGCAGATGCCATGTCCACTAGGCTACCCTGGACATGTTTTTCCGTTCGTAAATATTATATAAAATAATTTAAAATACAATATAACGCGGCTGATGATTGTAAAACGAAAATTGCAATTATACCGCGAATGTTTCTTTTAAACAAAAATCGAAATTTATTTTAAAGAGAAATAGCGATTATTTCTAACTTTAAAGATGAAGTATGATAAGATGAATTGTGAATAGTAATGACAAACGGAAAAATAAAAGTGTCCAGGGTAGCCTAGTGGACATGGCATCTGCCCGTAAGCGGAACACAGTGGGTTCGTTTCCCATCCCTGGACACTTTCATTTTTCAGTTTGTCATTACTCTTCACAATTCATCCTATCATACTTCATCCTTAAAGTTAGAAATAATCGCTATTTCTCTTTAAAATAAATTTCGATTTTTGTTTAAAAGAAACATTCGCGGTATAATTGCAATTTTCGTTTTACAATCATCAGCCGCGTTATATTGTATTTTAAATATATAACAATGGTTATTAATATATGCATGAATATCTGTGATGGGATCCCGGTTTGGATAGTTGAAAAGGGAGAATACACGATGTGACTTATTAAAGTTTCCTTACTAAAGTATATATATATATAGCAATTTAGGCCAACAACCCCATGTATATAACCCGCAGCAAGACCTTAATGTTGTATAATAGCAGCACAGCTGTCAGTGATGCACTATCGGCATATGTCTTTACATCATCACATGTAATGCAATTCGTGCAAACAGGATAAATAAAATAAATAAAAAAAAAAGGAAAGGGGGGAAAACTCTGTAATTGATTAAGAGTTGAGCTAAAGCAAGGATCGAGCATATAATATTGTCAGAACAATGGTCTAAAGATGGAAACAGCCGCGACACTATTATACAATTTCATCAGACAACCCATGAAATCGTTATTAAATTGGGCAATCTATAAAACACTGAAACACAGACACTCGCGGCAATGTATGTGGCCGGTAATTTATGGGAGACTTGATTATTAGTAACATTCCCTTCAAATAGGTAAGAAACATACAACATTTCATTTAAACAGTGGGAATAGCACCATAAGGCAAATTATGTATGAAATAGGTAACAGAGGAAACAAGAAATTTTCTCTAGATATTTATTTAAATATCTTAAAATTTGGGAACATGTCTATACTGACGAGATATGCTATTTACATAGTAAAATTTAGGTAGAGGTGACCTGAAGTTACTTTATAGCCCTTTAGGGCCCATGCGAAATCTAGGTTGGCTACTACACAAAAGGGGGGGGGGGAAGGCGCTAAGTCATAATGACAAATGGCTTACCTTTTCTCGAAAGTGCCGACAAAGGTCTGGTCTCCTGTCTGCAGACTGTCCTTTCACTGAGCGACTCCGATCGAAATCTTGCCTTTTGGCAAAGAACCTTCTTTTATTCATCTCTCTCTCCATTTTCATTCGCCGAAAGAAACACCAATCAAAATGGCCAACGCTCCAGTATCAATTTCATAGACGCCCCAGGCCTCATCAAAATAGAACATATAGTATTACCAAAACAAAAAAATCTAAAGAGAGAAACAACCACGGCGGTAGTGTAAGATTTCAGACTCCAGCCCCCCCCCCCCCTCCTTTCCACATGGATTGAAATACAATCCTCCCTTTTTTCTCGGGACGATATATATATCGCCCCCCCGTCTTGGCTAAAATTGACCCAGGCCCCTTTTACCTGGACTGTAATGTGATGCTTTCCTTTCTCAGTCTTTAGAGATCTTCCTTCTCCATTTTTCTCTTTTTTTTTTTTTCTGGTCACCTTTACCTAAATTTTTGGTGAGGGGAATATATGTACATATGAAACAACAGTTTCCAGCTCGGATGTCTCTGGATGTCTTCTTCTTTACCAGGCATCAGCTTTCGGCATGGAAGTCTGGTGTCACCAAGTGTCTAAGTTTCTGGGCAAAAAAATGGTCTGTAAGTCTATGTGGGAGGGAAGCCATGTATCCATTTGATTTGATTATACATACGCCTTCTGTTGGGGTATGGTTACAAAAAACGTGCCCCAACAATCCTCCCCCTGCCAAGTAATGGACAAATGCGTTTGTGCTATTCATTATTCATCTGCCTTTCATCAGTTACTATGAAAGCAGGCCCATTTCTAGCAAAATGCATTTTCCATTACTAGGTGAAGCCAGATGTACCGAAACCTATAGGGAAGATAAGGCTAGTCAAAATGATGGTATGCCATTCTAGATGTTTATTATTCCGAACATTAGTGGGCATTGCGCATCCTGGCAAAGGGGTTTTTATGTGCTATTATTCTGTCAGAACACTGTTATCAAAATAGGTTATTGGGGACAGTCATATCATATGTATGGAAGTAAGTAAGGTCATCTGTCTTACCATTCATGGGTATATATACCACCCTTCCACTTTCTTCTTTGGTCTTGAGGAGTAGGCCTTCCTAGTGGTAAGTCCTCTCAACCCCATCCTTGCCTCTTGGGGTACTGGATTCATTGCTACCTTCTTTCTGCTAACAATACAGTTAGGACATTTCCCTATTACATATTATATATGAAAAATTGGGCGCCAAGAAGTCGTTTAGAAATAACTGACTAGTCCAACTCCTAAAACATGCCAGCATCTTTATTTTCGTACCAATCAAGACATTCGTGTGGTATAGTTATATATATATACAATCAAAGGAAAGGATAATTATAGTTAGCTGAAAGAAATATCTTGGTATATAATGATTAGCCTATGACATGATGACTTTTGCTAAATAAAAATTACAGAAAACAAATTATGTAAGTAATCATTAAATAAGGCACGAAATATGTAATGATAAAATGAATCCTTCCATGTTATATGATGAGTATAACATATATATTGAAGTAAAAACATATCATGTAGATAGTGATTAAATATGTTAAGATATAAGCGATAAAAATCATCCCATGATAGATGACAAAAGAAAACTACTACAAGATTATATATGGTGACAAAATATATATAATTAAATATTTAATATAAATATTAATATCATGAATGTCAAAATAAAATTGTTGAAATGAATAGTATATGACTATAATATAATATATATTGTTACATCATGATTAATGGCGTATTTCTTATATTATTTTTAATATATTTGAAATTTAAATTATATATTTATTTATTTTTATATAAAATATTCTATGATATTTATTTAAAACAGATTAGATTATCATCATTTGTATTTAGGTACACTGTGACTTCACTGCTCTCTTTGATGTGAGAAAATAAATAAATCATTCTGGAGGTTACTTAAAGTAGACTTATCTCATTATTCCCTTATATTAATTTGTAGGATGGTTGAAACACGCTCTGGTAAGATGCAAGACCCAGCACAGGAGAGAATCAAGGCTGAAGAGTCTGCCAAGCCGCAACCTGGTGCAACAATTGGTAGAGATGCTAGTTCCGACCCAGTTGTCCTGAATCCCAACATCGACATCCCCAAGTATGATGGAACGGAAGACCCTCGCCCATGGATTGAATCTCTTGAAGAAATTGGCTTCCTGTACCATTGGGCAGACTACATTATCTCTCGTTATGCTGCCATGAATATGATTGGTAGCGCCAAAACCTGGCTGAACCTACACAAGATAAGTTTCACCAGCTGGGAAAATTTCAAGAGCCGCCTAATTGAGGATTTTGCCTCAGACGCCAACAAAGAAGAAATTAAGATGAAACTAAACAGGATGCAACAGTGGAATGAACCTGCAATCAGGTTCGCAGAGGATATCCTTGTACTGTGCAAAAAGGTCGACCCCCAAATGGAAGAAAAGACTAAAATAAACTGGGTTATTGGAGGGTTAAAGAAAGAATACTCTTTTGCCCTTCACCTAAACCCTCCTAAAAATACCAATGAACTCCTAGAAATTTGTAAGAAGCTGGATTTGTTCGAAAAGAATTACCAAGAACGTGCAGAAAAATCAAAAGCTCTATATAATGGACCACGCTCTCCTCGTCCCCATCATCAAGAGCAATGGAAGAATGCTACGTCGTTCAGAAGACCATATCAGAACACCTCCAAGCCCCAGGCCCCCGCTCCGAGGTACTACCAGAACACCTCCAAGCCCCAGGCCCCCACTCCGAGGTACTACCAGGACAAACCTCTGCCCCAGGTGTTTTCCCCTAGACGATCTTACACTCCTAATCCTGAGCCAAAACCGGTCTACCCAAGTAAAACATACAATAAGAATCCAAATTCAATTAGGAATAGGACAGAAGACGGGAGACCAATCTGCTTTAAATGTAACAAGCCAGGGCACGTGGCCCGTTATTGTAGGGTCAAGTTTATAAGAATCTTAGAAGAGGATCCAGCAGATACCCAAGAGAAGGTCGAAGAGAAATGCCAAATGAATGAAATATCAGAGAAATCAGGACCTCGGCTTTATGCCGATGTATGTCATAACACACAGACAAATATTCCTACCCGGAATAGATATTCCGTGTTGGAAGATTTAAACTAAGCGTCGCGCCTGAATCTGTCAATCAAAGCAAGTCGACCATAAACGGAATCAAGAAGTTGGACCCTAAATACAAATTAAAAATTAACGTGGACAAGATAGGGACTTTTGAAGCTTTGGTTGATACAGGTGCTGACCTCTCAGTGGTCGACCTCAGAACGGCCCTCGATACAGGCCATGGTATAAGTAAACTCGCAAAAATTTGTGCAGGACCCGATGGAAAAAAATTGGACATGGTAGGAAGTATATTTTTAAATATAAAAATTGATGACGAAACATTTTCACACAACTTTGTGATATTGAAAACGCATTTACGGACATTAATTCTTGGGAGAGATTTCCTTAAGAAAATGAACGCAAAAATAGATTGTAAGCAAGAAACTATCAAATACGATTTGACGAATAATCATGACGAAATCAATTTTGAAATGTTGAAAATAAAGAGTGCCAAGGATTCCATTGTACCGGAATGTTCCATGAAATTGATCAAGGCATTGGTAGAAACAGAGGATGGAGAATATATTA